AGCCTGAGTTCCTTTAAATCAAAACTAAAAACACATTTGTTTGGGATTGCCTTTGACTGTTCTAGTTAAACAGTTCAACTGAAACATCATTAGTTCAACTTTTTTATTTTCTTTAGTCCAGCTGTTTTTAATGTTCTTGTTTGTTTCTGCTTTATTTTATTTTATTTTTTCCTACTTGCTTTGATTCTGTTTTATTTTACTATATTTTCGTCATGTAAAGCACTTTGCAATGTCTTTGTACTGAATTGTGCTATACAAATAAATTTCCCCTGCCTTGCCTAAAGATGCATGCTTTTACTTTGAAAATCCATCAGCGAGGACTTCCTAGAGCAAGAAGAACCTCCCCTCTTCAGTTTAGTTAAAGTTCAGGCTGCCTGTGGCTCGGAAACTTATCAGAGCTCCTCCACACTGCTTTGGTCCAGGCTAGCGGACCTTCCTCTATCCGAACACAACCGGACAGAACCGAAACTCGCGTCTGTTTGGACCTAAAGACTCTCCACCAGAGGAGCCGAACCACCACCTACTGAAGTTCACAGCTTATCGAACAGAGGTAAGGATGCATTAGCTGGGTTCTGCTAGCAAACCCGAACCGCCCATTCATTACCGCCGATGGGGGGTTTAAATATCTGCCTAAATTTAAGAGGACAGTGAATTAGTTTGTTCCTGTAACGGTCTCAGAGCCTCACAGAAGACAGACTGGAAGCTCAGAGGTTTGCCTCCCCCTTTACTCCCCCTTTAGTAGACGTGGCTTTTCTGCGATGAAAAGGCTTCTTTATTCCCTCTACAGGCTGTGATGGTCCGGATGGTAGATTACTGCCAGGATTATAATCCACCCAGATTAAAGCTAGACTGTTTGTAACTCTGGTAATTTAGTTCATCTTTAGTTATTACTTCTTCTGGTTCACTATAAATGCAGCCGAGGTAACTTATTTAAATGGGGAAATAGTTTTTTTTGTTTCAAAAGATTTATTTATTTAATTTAAATCATTAAATATAAGAAGGAAAATTAGATTGTATTCACATCTTCACTGTTTGCTTGCATTATTATTACTAGGAGAGATCTGGATTTTCCTGGCTGGAACTGATTTTTCCTTTTTTTTAAGATCTGAACTCCCAATACCATTTATTTCTACTAGCAGATAAAAAAAGAGAAAAATAAACGTCTAAGATTTAAATAATTTATATTTTTCGAATGTATACCTCAGATGTCCCTTTATCCTCATACATCTTTTCTATTAAACTCAACACTTCCTTTATTTTGCCTGTTTTTTATGCATTTATTGATTAGAATAATGGGGTTTCTTATTTATGATGCATTGAACTATCAGGGCAAATTAGGCCTGGCTATCACCAGGAAAGCATCATGGCTGACCCAGTTTCCTGCTAAATCTGTTGCTTTAAACCTTACTTATATATCTTAACAACGTGAAACCTGTTTTGCAATTTTTGTAGTAAGTAAAATGAGAATTAATCCACATCTGCTTTGAAATGCATGAAGCACTAATGAATGAACACACTCCAAGTAGGCTGAATTAGAGGAAGAAGAAACACTGACCTAGATATAAAAGATACAACTTATTTAGCAGCTTCTTGAAAAAATCGGTCAGTTTTTAATAAAAAAAAAAAAAGGAAATGCAAATAATACTAATTTCTTATGAAAGCGTATATTTCTATTCTTTCTGTTTTTGTTTGACTTTTTGTTGTTGAAGGGAATATTAGTCTAATCTAATTGGTACAACTTAGTTATTACAGCCGTATTCTGGAAGTGCTTAATCACAGCTGAAGGTCTGACCCAGCTGGCATTTAAGCCGCTCCATACGTGACTTTAGATGCAGCATCCATGTTCTTTTGCCTGTTTCCTCTCACAGATGTTTGAGATCAAAAGGATCTGTTGCATCGGCGCTGGGTACGTAGGAGGACCAACGTGCAGCGTGATCGCTCACATGTGCCCGGAGATCACTGTGACCGTCGTGGACGTCAACGAGTCCCGCATCAAAGCCTGGAACTCCGACACTCTGCCCATTTATGAGGTAGAATATCAGCCCTTTTGTCCGAAGCAATGAGGTTATAGGTAAAGGTTGAAAAGCGTGGAGATTTATGGTCGATCCTGAACAAGGAACAGTGGGTCACAGTTTATTAGCAGGAGAGATATTGCTGCGCTTGTTGTTTTTGTTTTATATCTCCTCTTATGCATGCCTTTTCTATTGGGTGTGGCTGACACTAGTTTGACGTGAAAGTTCAGCTATACTTTCTTCTAAGCCACTCCTCATCTCAAGAGATCTGACTGTTCAGTCGGTGGATTATTTTACATGTTACCAAGGAATCGCCATCTCATGGGTCAAGTTTGAGGTTAATCAGTTCCAGACTGTTTAGCAACTTCCCTACGTCAACCCTGACCGCAAACTATTGCGTCATCATGGGTGGGGGTGGAGATTGTGAACCTCTCATGTTTGTGAAACAGTTTTTCCCCCTGCTTACACACTCTGACTGCTGATCCCAACTTTATTTGATTTCAGCCAGGACTGAAAGAGGTGGTTGAATCATGCAGAGGGAGGAATCTGTTCTTTTCCACAGACATTCCCTCAGCCATCAAGGACGCCGACCTCGTCTTCATCTCTGTGAGTCACACCGAATGACCCCCGTCTCGGATTTATTTCTGTTCAAGGGGCTCTGATCATAACACCACCTCCTTTTTAGGTGAATACCCCGACGAAGACCTATGGAATGGGTAAAGGTCGCGCAGCTGACCTGAAGTTCATTGAGTCGTGCGCTCGGCAGATTGTGGAGGTCTCCGACGGCTACAAGATCGTCACAGAGAAGAGCACCGTCCCCGTGCGGGCTGCAGAGAGCATCAGACGGATCTTTGACGCCAACACTAAACCCAGCCTTAACCTGCAGGTGTGTACTTTTACCTCCCACCACCGGATTCCTCTTTGTTTCCTGCTTCTGAAAATGAGCCTGCTGTCATAGGTGCTGTCCAACCCAGAGTTCCTCGCAGAGGGAACAGCAGTACGGGATCTAAAGGAGCCGGATCGCGTCCTGATCGGTGGAGATGAGACGCCGGAGGGTCAGAAGGCGATCAGAGCACTTTGTGCTGTTTATGAACACTGGGTCCCCAAGTCCAGAATCATCACTACCAACACCTGGTCGTCTGAGCTCTCTAAACTGGTGAGGGATGATAAATGAGCCACATAAACACTTACACAATATCCTCAACTAAAGAAATGTTGATATATTGCATTTCAGTGGTAATTTAACACTATATGTTAAAATGGGGGTCGGCAACCCGCGTCTCCGGAGCCACATGTGGCTCTTTAGCGTCCCCCATGTGGCTCCCTGGAACTTTTTCAAAAATTTATGAAAATCGATTTTTTTTTTTTTGGTTTGTTTTAATATGGTGAGCAGGAAGTCAAACAAAAATTTATTATGTTTTCCAATGCTGTAAACATTTTAATAATCAATAAATTTAAACAATATTTGCATCATAGCCATAGAGATCAGTTCACTAAGATAGATGGATGGATAGATGGTGCATCTACAAACTCTGCTACTGCTGCTTGTTTTGTTGCAAGGATGGAAAACCGTCCACAGTTTAAACAGGTAGCGCTATGATGCAGGTATGGGAACTCTCTTTTCCCCACATCCTAAAAATCTAAACCACACCAAGGAGCGCTGGTGACAGAGGATGTGGGATTTCAGGGTTAGACAGCTCTGCTTTGATGGATCTTAGTTCCTGCTTGGCTCCTCATGACTCAATCAGCTCCTCCCAACAGAAACACGTTGAAAGATTCCTTTATTGTGTTTCTATAATTTCACCAATGCAACACAACTTACACCACGTGGTGAAGTGGTGTGCGATGGGAGCGTTCACTGCTCCTCCCTCACCTCATGCTGTGACATTTGCTCCAGGATAAACATTTAATCATGAATGCTTATTATATGTTTAAGCCCACGTCGTCCTTTTCTATAGTGGGATAGTACACTTGGAGCCCGTGTTGCCATACGAGGATGATAGAAGACTTTTACATTTTTGCGGCTCCAGTCAGATTTATCTTTTGTTTTTTTTGGTCCAATATGACTCTTTGAGCAGTTTTGGTCGGTGATCCCTGTGTTAAAACAAAAGGCCGTCTAGTTCAAATCAGTCCAGTTGATTCAAACCAGTTCCAGTCATTAAGTTCTAGTCAGATTCTAGTTCATGCAGCTCTATGCAGTCCTCTTCATACAGAACTATTTTGTTCTCGTAAAGGAGTTATAATTCACAGCATGTTAATGTTACCTTTATGTTATCAGAGAAGCTCTAATTATTTGTTAAAGCTAACTATCTTTAACCCCCCTCAGAAAAAAACAAACCAATTAGGCACAAGGTGACACTCAATATTTATTAATAAAGTCAATTACACCAATTTTTGACTACGTCGATTTTTTTTAAATGGATATTTCGTATTTATTTACGAATTTTATAGTTTAATAGTCTGTTTAATATTTGAATCATGTTATGTATTTGTTTATTTAGTCTTTATTTAACCAGATTAATCCCATGAGATTTAAAATCGCTTTTGCAAGAGAGACCTTGCCAAGAGGGCAGCCGTATATAACAATGTATTAAATAAATGAATAAATGTAACATCTATTCCTTGGCTAAATAAGATTTATTTATTTCTTAATGTATTATGGACCTTCATATACCTGAGAGATTAAATAACAACTACTGTAAAAACCCGTCTTTTGACCTCCACTTCAGAAAACCTTGATTTATACTGCTAAGATTATTTACTTATTAAATTATTGTTTACTGCTTAAGAGCTTTAGCTGCTACTCTCTCGGATATCAACCAATTTCTTCTACAGTATCATAGTAAATTAAAGTGTTTCGATCCAAAATTGAAACGGTATCATAGGAGAAAAATAACTTATTTTATATTGTGAAACCCTGAAAAAACAACACAAAACTAAATCATTATCTTTTATAACTGCGATATTAACATCAGTTGCATTAAATCTTCATTTTCCTAATCATCTCTATATCTAAGATCTATATTAGTGAGAGTCCAGTCAATGGGCTGAACATAAATTGGCATGTGACAGGATAGGATATAATATAAATGTAATTATCAGTTGTCTATAGATGTTTGGGATAGAAATGAAAAGTGACCCTAATGTTTCACAGGCGGCGAATGCTTTCCTGGCGCAGCGAATCAGCAGCATCAACAGCATCAGTGCTCTGTGTGAAGCCACAGGAGCCGACGTGGAGGAGGTGGCCAAGGCCATCGGCATGGACCAGAGGATTGGCAGCAAGTTCCTTAAAGCCAGCGTCGGTAAGAATCAGGACAAAAAAAAAAAAAACTGGGAAAGGTGCCCTGTGGTGCAGAGCCTCCCTAATCGCTCTCAGTGGAATGTCCTTCAAACTTTATGTGGCTCGTTGTGTGAAGCTCTCCTTTACTTGTTTCTATTTCTAAGTTAAAAGAAAAAGCAATTTGCAGATAAACGGAGGATAAAAAGGAGGAACTTTAGCATTACTTCCTCACTGCAGCAAGTTAGGAGTGAAAAGTGGCTGAGGATTAACCTGAACAATACACAGTGCAGCTTTATACGCTGGTGTTAGATTTACTCTCTGCTGCCCTGTTCAGGCTTTGGTGGGAGCTGTTTCCAGAAAGACGTGCTCAATCTGGTGTATCTGTGTGAAGCTCTAAACCTGCCGGAGGTGGCGTCCTATTGGCAGCAGGTGGGGACTACAACACAAAGATTTAGTTTTTTGTTTGTTTTTTTTTTATTCTAAAACATGATTCCTCTCCTCTCAGGTAATTGACATGAATGAATACCAACGACGGCGATTTGCTTGTCGGATCATTGACTGCCTCTTCAACACCGTTACTGGAAAAAAGATTGCTCTGCTTGGGTTCTCTTTCAAAAAAGACACGGGGGACACCAGGTCAGTCCCCTTCATGTCCTTTGGTTTGGTGGCAAATAGGAGGATAGTAGAGAAAGCTGAGAGCGTTATAATCACTAGAAACATGCAGAGTTACGGCTTGTAACTCCAAAGTGACAACACTGGCACGGCTTCCTTTAGACGGGCTCTTTATTTAACGCTGTGAAAACTACAGAAATAGAAGAAAAAGCTTTAGATATCAATACATTCACAGACAATCAGGTGACACGTGCTTTACCAGAAGTTACCTCGTGACCGCCTGCCACTCCGGAGGTCTTTAACAGTTTAATTCTTCCTTGTCCACTCTAAATTAAAATATAAAGTAATTAAAACACCGTAACCAATAAAATTGGAAAATATTACAAACATAACTACAAATAATAGCTACAGTAAACACAAGGCTGCTCCACATAGCTCTGTTCCAAGCTTCTACTCCTTCTTTGTTTATTCAAGATGCATCGCTTTTCACATATACGCAAATCTTGCGATAACTTTCAACAAAAAATAATACAATCATTTGACACATTCCCAAAACGTGAACCAAACAACGTAAAATACATTATCTTAACTATTAGAAATAAAAATGCATTTTTTCAAGAAATAAATGATTTCAATGACACTTACACGGCTCGTCCCCTTTCTCCACTTTGAAGCTTGCCTAAGCTCCCTGTAGTGAACTTCACTCCTAACCTCTCTCGATGCCTGATTTTTATAACTCCAGGGAGTCGTCCAGCATCTACATATCAAAGTATCTGATGGACGAGGGAGCCAAGCTGTTCATCTATGACCCCAAAGTTCTTAAAGAGCAAATCATTCATGATCTGTCGCAGCCCAGCATCTCAGAGGACAACCCAGAAAGAGGTATGAGAGAGAAAGTTCATGGCTTGTTTGACCATGCCTGCAGCACCGGCTGGTTTAATGTTAAAGATTAATAGACACTCCACATGAATAACCTTGTGCTTTAAGATAAATCTTTATAGCAACTTCCAGATTACTTCTCTTTAGACTTTGAATGTTTTATGAAGCATCTTATCTGATTAAGTGTTAAACCTTCCCTCATATGATAAACCCCGATATTATTTAGGAGCATTTACACCCAATAAAACAGAAATTATGTTTAATTGAAACTTATAATTAAAACATTTCTCTCCGGATTCTTAGTTTGGTGGTAGCAATAATGTCGCTCTGTTGTTCTGCAAAGGAAAACTAATGAATCACTTTTTGCTGTTTTCTAGTGTCTGAGCTGGTGACCATAACCTCAGACCCCTATGAGGCCTGCCAGAGCGCACATGCATTGGTCATCTGCACAGAGTGGGACATGTTTAGGGTAACTATCACATTTGCCCATCATACACATTGATTTAGTCTTAGCAAGCATGTGAGCTTAAATTTTTACGATGTTGCTCCGTTGCTGCTACAGGAACTTGACTATGAGAAGATTTACAAGAAAATGCTGAAGCCAGCCTTCATTTTTGATGGTCGCAGAGTTCTAGACCACCTCCACGCAGAGCTGCAGAACATCGGCTTCCAGGTGAGCAGAGTAACGTCTGTTCATTTAGAGCTGCATTTGAAGACTTTCACCATTTTAAAAGCAGAGCATATTTTTAACAATCGTCTGGTTGAGTTCTGACTCATTTCACTCTGACTGATCACTTCTTGTATTAATATGATGCAGTTTTAAAGCATCCAGCTTTATTGTAGCTGGAACATTACTGAATTAAAGGCCCAACTTATATGTACCAAAGGTTTTTAATGTTGCTGTAATTGAAGTCTGTTGACCATGATGCCTTAGTCAGTTATAGACCTATATCCAATCTTCCTTTCTTATCTAAAATTCTTGACTAAGTAGTTGCCAAACAAGTGTGCGATCACTTACACCATAATAAACTTTTTCAGTCTGGCTTTAGAGCTCATCATAGCACTGAAACAGCTCTGGTGAGAGCACTAATGATATTCTCATGGCCTCAGATAATAGACTTGTATCTGTGCTCGTCCTGTTGGACCTCAGTGCTGCATTTGATACATTTGATAATAATATTCTTTTAAAAAGACTTGAATATTTTGTAGGACTTAAAGGAACAGCACTAGACTGGTTTAAATCCTATCTGACTGATTTCAGTTTGTTCACGTTAATGACGAATCTTCCTCATTCTCAAAGGTTACCTGTGGAGTACAACAAAGATCAGTGCTAGGACCAATTCTCTTTACTATATATATATATATATATATATATATATATGCTCCCAATCGGTAGAATTTTTGACAGCATGAGATTAATTTCCACAGTTATGCTGATGATACCCAGCTATATCTGTCTATAAATCTGGATAAGGCTAACCCGTTACATAAAAAACCTGGATGACTCTTAACTTTCTGCTCCTGAATTCAGACAAAACAGAAGTCATAGTGTTTGGACCAGTCTTTGAAAAAGAAGCTGATTAGTCAGTCACGTCATTTGGATGGGATTAATCTGATCTCTGATAATAAAGTAAAAAATCTTGGTGTCATTTTTGATCAGCACCTGTCATTTAAATCCCATATCAAAGAGGTTTCTTTCATCTGTGGAAAATCTCTAGTTCCAGTGGGGTGAAATAGGCACTTCCTGTTGCCATGGTGACTTGTCGAATCAGGGCTGCACTGATGCTGGCTTTTCATACTTGTTACGCATGTGCTCAACTCGAGTGGATCTACTTAGTTGATTGAACTAATTTAAAGAAGCCGTTTTGAAACCGAAAACGCAAGAGTTGAAACGGGTAGATCAGTTTAGAGTTGCAGATTTGAATCTTGAGTTGGTTAAACCTGCTTCTTGAAACAGACCCCTGGTCTTTAATAAGGATTTGGTCCCATAGGAGTTAATGATCATCTCTTCTCAGCAGTTTGCTGCATTTTCATTAGTTGTTTTTAACTTGCAGTTGTTTTTTTTGCTACTCAAAGCATTTAATGCTGTTTGCATGTTTTCTATTACTGCTGCATTTCTTTTCTGCAGCATTTTCCACCGCATCTGTTTTTGTTTTTCATTCATATTTACAGTATTTTGCAAATTTTCAGGGGGTTTGCACCTCTTGGCCACCGTCATAAGCTTTTTGCCAGTAAGGGGTGCAGTAATGCTGCAACTTAAGAAAAAAGGGCATTGTGCCTACTGTACATGAAGCAGAATACAAACTGCGCACCACTTGGTTCAGATTTCTATTTGTGTGGCTAATTTCATCTCTCTTATTGCAGATCGAGACCATTGGGAAGAAAGTGACCTCTGCTCGAATCCCCTACACCCCAGCAATCGTTGGACCACGCACCGCTGCCACCGAGCCTCCCACCAAGAAGGCAAAAGCCTGAAAGATGAACCCCCCCCTCTGCCCAATATTGGCTCGCTGCTTCTCATCAGTCTCAAAGTTGCTGCAAATCAAATATCTTTTATATTTCTGTAACGCTATCATTCCAAACACCACAGCCAGAATTACATCTAGCACATGCATCAGATGACCTGTTTTTATAGAAACACTATATACGCAGGTTTATTTTCTTATATAATGAAGCTGTTCTTAAATGCAAAGTTTTATCTTTTTCTTTTCCTATTACTATTTTTATAAATCATGTTGCTGTATGCTAAGTGTTCATTTAAGGGGCCAATGCAATAAAATGAGACCTGTAATTCTTTAGATACTTTTTATACATGTATCACCTCCAATAAATCTGTCTTTATAAGTTCAAATCTCATTTATAAGCTTCATCTCATGCAAATGTATCCAGACACATTTCCACCTATATGTTGGAAACATGGCTTTAATGGTACAAACATTTGGAAGAGGAGTACAACATAAGTTTCATTGCACACAAGCTCATTTCAGTTTTTTAGAGACTCCTGCCAAACGTGATCTCAGTAACATGCGGCTGAAGAGCTTTAACTCCATGTCCGGTTGGAGGCAGGAGGTGACTTCTAATAAACAGTAAAATATACAGCTTCTGCTCCTGGCTGGTTGGATTTTCAGCTGGCTGATGTTTCTTTGAACAGAGGTTTCTCTTCTGCTCCTTTATGATCGTTTTCCTCAACAAACTGGCAGCCGTGCAGGGCGGCTGCAAGTAAAGATACAAAACTAGCTTCCTGAGGAAACAAACGATTGTTTCTAATATTGTTTGTCAATATTAAAACTAAACACACTCCTTCTCTCTTGGGACTGAGCTGCTATTTCCTGCCAAAAGTCACAGACATGGTTTAACGACTAGAAGACAGAATGATCAGATGCTTTAAGAAGCCTCTCATTCCGCTGCAGGGATTTCTGCTTTTCTCTTCTTCAATAGATTCTTCAGGAAGAATTCACCTGTAGGATGGAAAACAAATGGCTTTTACACTCATTACCAAGTACAGCACAGACAGGCAAACATTTGCCTAAGTTTTAATGAGGAGAAAGGAGATGGGTTACCTTAAGTAATATTTAAGAAAATATTTGAATTTATAACACTCCTTAATCCAGACGACCAGAGAGACTAAACCTCTCCCTGATCATGTTTCTATATTTATTTCCACCCCTGCTAAAGATGTGTAAACAGCCTTAAAATCTTTATTTAAAAGTACCATAAACCACATCATTAAATAAAAAAACATTATTTTAAAGAGATTAAGAAGAAGGAAACATTCCAGGTTATTTAATGCAAGCTTGTCCTTTTAGCTGCTCCTTTAAACAGGGTCATCTTAACGAATCGTTATGACTTCCTAATCAGACTTGGCAAAGTTTTAACACCAGATACTCTTCCCGCTGCAGCTGGGATTCAAGTATTTTAAGGTGAATCAGAGTTTCTATGAACTATTAATAATGAATTACTTCCTAGACTGACTAGCAGCCTGTTTCAGTCACTTTGCAATAATGCAGAGAAATAAAAAAAAGTTTAATGTCCTAAACGTAAGACTGTTTGTTGAATTGTTGTAGTTCTTAAACAGTCAGCAAGAAAAACAAATTAATTCCTGAACTTTAAAAATAAATAAATGAACAATCTGATAGAGAGCAGGAGGCCTCTTTGACAATCCAGAGGTTAGTTGTAACAAGCATATACTTCGGTCCTGATGAATGAAGTATCCTGTCCATTAGGGGTGCCATCAATGATTATTTTACCCATCGATTTATCTGTTGATCATTTAGATTAATCAATTACTAAATCAGATGACGATTATTTCAATCATCAATCATGATTAATCCAATTAATTGTTTCAGCTCTACTATAAACTATCATGTGCTTTGACCAGATGATGCCAATATTGTGTTTGTTTCCCCCAGAGTCCTGATTCCTAAAGCTAAGAGCTGCCTCAACTGAAGCAGCAACATATAAGTTACTGCAGTTATTATCCTGTGCAGCTAGCCATATATAATTATTTAGTCAAATACCTTAAATATTTTAACATCATTACAGTAGCCTGAACCATTGTTGACATTATTTCATATATAGACATTATTATCGTTTAATGTGTCGGCTGCTTTAAGTTCTGCAGAAAGGTCTTTAATAGACCATTGCTGTGCTGAGGGGATCAGAGAAATGACCAAATGTTTCCCAACAATTACCTGCATGAGGGTTACTGCTTTACTGGGAATGACATCCTCTACCTGAACAGACTGCTGGATCCCACAGAGAACAGAGCCATGCCTTTATCGTTACAGAGGATCTATGTTGGGGCTCAGGTTTTCTGCTAGTGGTATTGTTCTTTATATGCCTTAGCAAAGCCCCTCTTTGCTGCACCATCTGATGTGTCTTTGGTTCATTATCTTCTCCATCCACAGAAGAATTAAAACAATAAGGGATTCTACATTATTGCATATTACATGAATTAGGCTACTCATCACAGAGGAAGCACTGATGTGTAGCCTTACTGTAGCCCCAAAAGGAGGGGGGGGGGGGTATAAATGCATTCCACACTTTTCAGTTGTATTTATTTGAAAACATTTCCTTGTCCTTTTACTTTAAAAGGTAAGCACTACTGTGTGCTTCTCTGTCGGAATCTTAATACAGTACATTATGCACACTGAAAATAAGGTTTAAGGATTATTATATAAAATTACTGTATCGTTAGTTGTGAACTTTTGTTGCTAATCGGCTTTATGACTAAGCATGACTAAGCCTAATCTCCTCAGGGTTACTCCAGGTCATCTGAGGAAACTTTTCACCTGAATGTTGTTGACAGAGTAGTTCTCTGCTATAGCAGACAATTTTAGATTTAAAGCTACTTTAAAGGACATTCTGACAAAAAGGACCTGCTAAAATCAATGATCTTTATTCTTCCCTAAGGGAAACAATCTTCTAGCAACAGTTTAAAACTAAAAGCAAAGTTTTTCAACAGTTTGTTAAAAATTTAAATATTATTTAAGGTTTCAAAGGAACAAAAGAGTTTTTCAGTCTGTCAGTCCAACAGCGGATATTTGCACCCCGATCAAATTAAATTAGAGCTCAACGGTCAGACAGTGATCCAGATCCATCAGGATTGTTCTGCCTGAACCCACCTTGAACATTGGGGTCAATCATTGAAGGCTGCACCAGGAATTTAAACATTAAAAGCCTGAACCATAGATTTTAACTCAATAAAGCATTTCTATAAAAATAGAATGATCCTTCTAACAGCGAAAACCCCAAATCGTGTAAAGAGCACATAAGGATAAAACCGTGCAGAGAAATCTCCTCCTTTTAACCTCATTCTCAAATCTGAACAATTCTGCACCTTTATTTTATTCGACTTTATAAAAAGCTCACCTGCTTTGTAGGAGGACCGAACCAGAGGCCCGCTGGCTGTGTACGCAAATCCCATATCGTTCCCCACCTTCTCCCAGTGAGCAAACTTTTCCGGAGGGATGTATTCCTCCACCTAGACCCACCCAAACATCAGTTACGCCTCCATTTGAAAATAAAGACTATGGCTTTCCTGTTCCTGCAGTAAGCGGAGCACTTACCTTAAGGTGGCGCTTTGTGGGCTGCATATACTGACCGAGGGTTAGACAGTCCACCCCTGCCTCTCTCAGCTCTGAAACGTCATCACAGCAGCAGTAAAACATCTGTTCCTGCCAGCCTGTGAGTGTTTAACTGCAGCTGCTACCAACCAGTCATAGTGTTGATTATCTCCTGGTCACTTTCTCCAAGTCCCAGCATGATGGAGGTCTTTGTGAGCACGCTGGGTTTAACCTTTTTAGCGTGTTTCAGCACACTTAGGGACTGGTCGAAATTGGCTCTGGGGTCCCGAACATGCCTGGAACAGATTAAAGGAGAACGTTTTTGGCATCTTGCACCACCTGGTGGTCAGATTGAATCAAGAGCAAGAAGTGCTTGAATTTACAGAAAGCAGCAGGGGTTCATAGCTAAATGGTTGTTAGCCTCTAACAGAAAGTAAAGGACAAACTTTATATCATGAAATGGTAAATTACATAGGTGTGAAATGTGGCGTTTGCACACCTTTGCAGCTCTCGAACCGTCTCCACATTGTGGGCGTATACGTCTAAACCAGACAGGGCGATCTTCTCTACAGCTGCCAGGTCACCGCGGAAATCAGGGGTCAAACATTCAACCAGGATGTCAGGATTTCTGGACGCAGCAGAAAAAAAAACATGAAAATATATGCATGGAAATCAATTTTTTTAAAATCCATCTGAGAACTTTTACCTCTCCTTCAGGTTAGAAACAGTTTTGGCAAAGTGTTCTGCACCTCCATCAGCAATATCTGCAAAGAAGCAGTGATATTAGAAGAGACGGATCATCCACATGCACCAACTGAAGTACTTATGATGAGTTTGCAGAGATTTAAATCAGATAGATGCTGGGTATCAATCCTGACCTGGACTTATTCTCCATGTTCTGTCTTTTCTTTTCCCAACATTGCTCAGCTTTGGTTCTACTTAAACTTGCAGCAGATTGCGAATGCATTATGTTTTTATTTTACTAGTAAAGCGAGGACAGCTTTCTGCTCATTACTTTTCTGGGATGGAGTTTGGGGATTTAAGTTTAGGCTATAAAAAGGGTTTGAAATAACAAAAAAAAAAGGTCCTCAGTAAGTCAATATTAAAAGGAGGGTTTTAATACTTTCCTTTAAAATGTAATCGTTCCCAAGGCGTGTAGTTGCATCAAAAAAAAGAAGTGAGTTTGTGCTACAAGGTCCAGCTACTGAAGATAAATCGGCTAGAAATTCCTGTCTAGGATTTTCATGTATAGTCTAACGTAGAGAAAAGTTGAGAATAATGAAAGTTTGGGAACTTTGTTCTTTCACACCATTGGAGGTGTTGGTGTTTTTTTTTCAGATGGTTACATTTGCCCAAGGTGGTGATGTGTCTGCACCAGTTTTAAAAATGTCATTGATTTTTATTTTGTTTTGAACTCTCCATTTTAAATTGCATTTTAGTTTAACTTATTTTTTTTAGTACTTCTTAGCTATTTCAGTTAATATCTTTTTTTTTTTTAATTCTTTCC